TAAATAGTTATAAGCGTTTTTTGACGAACGAATTTTTTAGTTAATTTTTGTGCAATGGATTTGCAGAAAGAGTTTTTATACATGCATTCTTATTCCATAATAGTTTCAAATATGTAAACATCTTACTTCAAAAAAAATATTATTAAAATTAATGATCAAAGGTCATTTTATTACTGAAAAAAAATTTTAAACAAATATTTTCATTATATACTAGTAATAAGTAAAATAATCTAAATGTAACATAAAAATAATATGTAACAAAATAATAATTGAACTCCAAAACTGCTAATAAACAAAGTAAAATACTATTGGTGATAAAATTTTATTGGTCAAAATTTCGTGTTACCGAAAAAATTTGATAGCGCTCTTGGAGTAGTGAATAATTCGGGTTTATAAACTCGATAATACCTAATTCTGAAAACAAGGCCTAAATTCATTCTTAACGCGGCCGGGTCAAATTTTGGCTATTAAAAAAAAGCCGGCCGGGGTTTCATGTTTGACCGATATCGATACCGATACCGATACAATTTAGATATAACAATAATTTTAACATTATCGAGTTAGATAGACAATGACCACCACTAACGCTAATGAGTTTGAAGTGCCTTTCTTAACTGCTGAACAAATTCAAAACGTTCAAACATTTGATTCAATTATCTCAACACAGACTTCTTCCGGAGTGCCTTCCCCTTTCGATAGTTTAAAAATTTCTTCTACCGAGGTACTTGAAAAAATCACTAAACGAACACCTTGTCCAAAATGCGATAAACCAGTCAAATACTTTTGTTACTGGTGCTATATAATTGTTGGCTGCGATAGTAGCGAATTACCAAGAGTGAAGTTACCAGTTAAAATTGATGTGTGGGATTTTACTTTTTTTTTATTATTAGCTTCATGTGGTCCAAGAGCATAGTTTGTGGTGAGATTTCAGGTTTCAAATTGTACTAACGGTTCTTTTTTTTCAAAAATTAATTATTTTATCATACCCTTCCTTCCTTTTAAAAGAATTAAACACCATAAAGAAAATGATGGTAAATCAACGGTAGCTCACGCAAAAATTATAGCACCGGATGACGTTGAAATTATTTCTTATTCACAAATGCCAAAAATTGAAAATCCGGACCGCATGTTATTACTTTTTCCTGGACCGGTAAATATTATAATTTACATTTTTTTGAATATCAATTTCTTGTTTCTATTATAATTTGATCTAATTATTATGATAGAACTCCAAAACATTACAAGAAATACCAAGATCATCGTTTGATAAACTCTTAATAGTAGATGGCACATGGCGACAGGCTTTAAATATGGCAAGGACTAATCCTGAACTGAAAAATATTCGTAAAGTCACTATAAACCCGCAAAAAACATTATTCTGGAGATATCAAAATAAAGATGAAAATCATTTAGCCACCATCGAAGCTCTTTACTATTTTTTGAAAGAATATAGCGAAGTCTATGAAATTCCAGAAGAAGCTATTCATTCTGATGTTAATGGGTATGATGGAAGATACGACAACTTATTATGGTATTTTAAATATTTTTATGAATTTATTCAGACTACTTATAGAAGACAAAAAGGAAAAAAGAATTTTACTACTAGACAGCGCGAAGGTTATATTCGATATGAGTAAATTGTTCTAACATTAATTTGACAAGTGCAACATTATAAATAAATTCATTAAAATTATGAAAAAAGATCAGGAAACAATTCTTTCACTTGTTTCACTGTATCATCAGGACTCTTGACTGAATGTCCTACGACCGATTCGTGGTTATAAATTTCCCAATCATTACCACCCTAAAATATTTTTTATAATAAAAATAGGAAATATGTAAATAATATAGATAAACGGAAACCATTGAAAGTCGAAGGAAAATACTACCTCATAAGCTTTGTCACCAAAAAAGTGAATGACCTTGAACCCTTCATTTTGAACATGCTGTAAGCAGTAAGTTTTATCCCAGCCTATCGATTAATTGATTAATTAAATTACTTTAGTATTATATCACACCACATGATATTGCTATTTTGAAACTATACCTTTCGGAAAAATGTCAATCGATATTTGTCCACCTTAATTTACAATTTAATATAATTAAATGGAAAATGTTTAATTCTTATTGCTATAATTGAATAAGTGGAAAATGCTTAAATCCTATCGCTACAATTAAATGAACGCGCCATACCGATTGAATAAGTGAGCGAATAATCATGGAAGGCTTCCTTCAATGCCTCTACGAGTTTAGGACGAATTTTATGGATCTGATAACAAACACTGTATTTAAAATCAAATATCTTGATTGGATTTAGGAAAATAATCAGTCATACCTTATCATATTCTTCAAAATTGTTTCGTTCTTCGACACTAATAATAATAATTGATAATTTGTATCACTTATTTTTATCTTCACACCTAAATAATGTTCGAATAAATTCGCGATACTTTACGTGCAATTACGTCCAACTGGCGACACGTTGATCATACCATTTCTGAATTCAACGAATGTTCCACTATAATAATATTTAATTTAGCACAATATTTTTTTGATTTATCATGTGAGTTAAGCAAGATACGTAATATTACCGTTTAATTGGAAGATCAATATCCGCTATATATCGAAGAATAAAATTAACCAATTTTTTATATTTTTCTTCGCCAAGCCATCCGATAAAACTCTGTAAAAAGAAATTTTGATGCCAGTATTAAATGTGGTGAAATATTTTTTTGATTAAATGCTTCTAAATTGTAAAAAGTAGACAAACCTGTGATGCCAATGGTTTTCCACTCCGGTATGCAATAAGTCCGTTTTCCGAAAATGCATAATCAAAATCTTCGAGTACTGTATAAAAAAATTTGCATGAAAAGAATTGAGTAATGAATGCCTTAAATTGTAAAAAATCATCCAAAGAAATAATTGTTTTACTAGTAGGGCCAAGTTGCTCTTGTTGTTTTGCAAGATCAGATCCACCAACAAATCCAATAACTGCTTTCTTTCTTACTATTTTAAGTAATTCCAATATTTCCGGAGTTACTGTCTACATAAAGAAAAAAAAAAAAAGAACCGTTTACTTTAAGTTATAACTAATTATCTATAATTGAAAAAACCTTTTTACCCTCCGAGCGGGAGTCAGAGTTCCATCAACGTCAAACAAAAGAAGAACATCGCGATTTTGCCAGCTTGCCATTGTTCTGATTAACGAGGAATGTAAATAAGTACGATTGTTGATTATATCAAAAAAATTATCTGAACAATTGGCGGAACTCAAAGTCGTTTCATTATAACTTAGATTCTAGTATTACATAAAAAGTAGTACATTGGGGTTTTCAATGTACTGTGCAGATCAAAAATTAGATTTGTATGGGTTAAGAATGGTAATAATAGAATAATGGTAATGAAATAATTTAAGTAATAATTACTTCATTGTTACTTTTAAGTAAAGTACTCTACTATATCAGGATTGGACAGTTATTGGATGCGAAGCTGCCAATAACGTCGCTATCATTATCCAATTTTAAATGCGTCAGATTCGGGACCCCATGAATTAAATTCAAGTAATTTAGCGCGTGGCACTCTGACGACGTGGAGGAACGACAGGCTTTCCAAATTCGTATTATTACAGTATTAGCAAATCTTTAAAATACGTAATGATTTGATAATGCTACACCCTTGCTAATGTAGATTAATATAGGATATTAGGATATTGGTTAGGGTTTAAGTTAGAATTATTAGCAGAGGCGTGACAATATCAAGAAAGGGTGTAGAAATACCGATTCTCGATTTTTTCTTTATTACATTATTATTAAATCTAGCTATAGATAGGGGCGAAATTACTTTTCTTAATAAGAAGTTTTTGTTGAAATTATTTGATGGTGAAATTGGTTTTTTAATATCGATATTACAGCTGTTTAATTTTGAAAAATTGTCCGAATGATTATTTATCGATTCGATAAGTTTTTGATGGCAGTGATAAACTTTTAATTTGTAATTATATATGTTGTACGTTGGAATGGAATTATTGTGGATTTAGAATCTATCTAGATTGATTCCAAATAAACATAGGTTGTAATAAAATTCTAAAATGAGCTCAAGTCAGAGAATTCCAATTCAACTTACGATAAAACTAAGTGTGTTTCAAATTATTTCATCAAGTACGTTGTTTTGGAATTTAAGTCGTTTTAAGATAGAGTTTATTAATAACGCAACACATTGCAAATTAATTAAATTTAAAGTATTATATGAAATTTTTACATTATGACTAGTGGGTGGCAACCACTCTCACAGAGTACTTTCATTTTTTACATTTACAATGGTTTTTGTTGCGAGTTTTTGCAATTTCATTTAATATCTACTTGTGAAGAGAGTTGCATAATGGTCTCGAGCTACGTTCAACTCTTTCAATAACGAAGCTTCTAGAAGAAAAAAAAAGTTTATTCTAGAAAATTACTAAGTTTTCTTAAGAATCCATTGCACTTTTTATACTAAACTATTATGAAATTTCAAAATTTGAGTTTGCTATATTCAGAATCAATTGTACTATCTAATTTTGGAATTTTATTAAAACTTAATGCAAAAAAATTAATTAGAATTAATTAATATCAAATTTCGTATTCAAGCTTATATATGCTATTTTGTAAAATTTTAATAATCTTGCAAGAGTATTTTCAATTATTGTGCTGTATTTGCTAAATTATATTAAATCTTAATTTTGCAAAAAAATCAAAGTCTCTATGGGTTTGTGTTAACTGTTTACTAATTTATGTTTAAATATTTAGAAAAAACTTCTTAAAAATAAATAATCTTTAAATTTAATTATTAGATAAAGTTTTGCAAAAAATAAAAAATAAAAAAGTAGTAAAAAAATTAATATTTTTTTTTTATTGTTAACGATGCTATTTTTTATTAATATATTGTAAAAAAAAATTATAAAATAATTAAAAATAATTTATTATATAAAAGAAATCAAAGAAATAAATTGTAAATTTAATCATAACTTAGATTCAAATAACTAAACTTAAAACAATTAATTAAAATAATCTTCTATATAGTACACATACTTGAATTTACTATCTAAAATATAAAACAAATAAAACAGATTTGTTAAATCTATCTAAATTTAAAATATAATTAAAAATAGTATAATACTATTTACTTTATTATTTTTGCTATTTTTTTTTTTTACCTTAAGCAGTCATGATAGTACTTTATTAAAAATTTTGAAACTATACAAATTACATATAATTTTTTTAGTACTTAAGTTCAGTATTACCTGGCTACCCAAATGGTACCTAAATTCAACCTGTTATACTATTTTAATCAAAGGTAGACTGCTTAATTAATTACTGTTCTACAATAAGACTATTACTAATCTGATGATATCTTTTTAAAAAAAAGTAAAAAAACATAAAGATATAAAAATAAATAATAAAAGATACAAAACAAAAAATAAATAAAAAAAAAATAAATAAAGAAAAAGAAACCTTGTAAAACTTATAATTTACAATTATCAGACAATTATAATTATAAATCTGTGTTAGGTTTTAAAAATTATAAATTATATAAATAAAAATAACTTTACTATTTTTCTATTTACTTAAATTATTTAACAAAAACTATATAGAAAAAAAAACTTCAACTTAGTTGTAGAGAGTCACACAGGTCAAACGAATGAATAAAGGGTAAATAATAGGTAAATAACAGAAAAAAAAACTGCCATTATTCTACCCTATATTTGCCAAATAATGGCAGCATAACAGTA